TAACCTGTCAGGCTTGCGTGCAAGATCAGCTTGCACTAAAGATCTTAATATACTATTCCTTAGTTTGTAAAGATGGCACCTTCTGACCTACTATAAAGAAATCATTCGAAGTAGTTCCATATTAGATTAAACTTTGCCTCAAAATAGTAAATCTCCTGAGACCAACGCTGCAGGCACGAGTTACTACGCCAGAAAATCAGTATATGGGCCAAAAGCAGATTCACATCTCTCCTGTTCTAGCTTCTCTGCATTGGCTCCTGTTAAATTTAGAAATAGAATTAAAATTCTCCTCTCACCTATAAAGCTCTTCATGGTCAGGCCCTTCTTATCTTGAAGAGCTCATAGTACCCTATTACCCTCTAGAACACTGCGTTCTCTTAATGCAGGGTTACTTGTTGTATGTCTCTAAAAGTAGAAGCAGGAGCCAGAGCCTTCAGTTACCAAGCTCCTCTCTTGTGGAACCAGCTTCCAGTTGTGGTTCGGGAGCAGACACCCTCTCCGCATTTAAGAGTAGGCTTAAGACGTTCCTCTTTGATAAGTTATAGTTAGGGCTGGATCAGGTGAGTTGAACCATCCTTAGTTATGCTGCTATAGGCTAGACTATTGGGGGATTCCATGGTGCACTGAGCTCCTCTCTTCCTCTCTCTCTCTTTCTCACTCACGTCATTCATGTCCATTAATGCATGTTACTAACTTCCACTTCTTCCTTGGAGTTCTTGTGCTTTCTCGTCTTGCAGGTTCTCATGGATCCTGGTGGACGCCTCCTGCCATGGTTACTGTTGTCGCTGCTCGCTGTCCCCAATCGTTGCGCTGGTCATCGTCATCGTCTTTTCATGATCGTCATCGATCATTACTATTAATGTAAGTTGTTGCTACTGTTGTTGCTGTACATCTGTCTATCTCTCTCTGTCTCCCCCCCCCCCAAACTGGTCAAGGCAGATGACCACCCACCTAGGGAGCCGAAATTTACAGCAATTGCTTACAGTGCTGGAATGTCAACATTTTGACGGGTCGGGGCTGGTATGTCCCTTCACAAGATGGTCTCTAGCTTTATCATACCAATGTTATCATTTTATTTGATTCATATGATTTTTTGGGGTGCATTTGCTGTTATATTAGAGGACAGCTGGACAAGAAAGGGGGAGAGAGGGGATGACACGCAGCAAAAGGTCACAGGTCAACTGCAGCTGGGACTCAGCCATGCTATATGGGGCACCAGCTCTACTAGGTGAACTGCCAGTAAGGCCATTTTATTATTATTGACTTTTTATGACTGCTTGTTTTTCAAAAATAGGTTTCCATATAAAAACGGATCAAGCCTGTAACAAAACATCTTTTATGGGTAAAAGGGAAATATATGACAAATGTTTCCTCTTTCACACACAAGGTTTTTACAAATTCAATGCAAAATAAATTTGAATATACAGTTTGAAATTCTGATATGACAACTTCTTAGACGAATCAGCACCTTTTGCTGCCTCTT